TAACTAGTAATTTACTTCTGTCCTGTAACAGTAAGGGTAACTACTAATGTACTTCTGTACTTACTCTAACACTAAAGGTAACTAGTAATTTACTTCTGTACTAACCGTTACACTACATATAACTGATTCAACTGTAATGCTCTTCTAGTTCGCATTGTTACAAGTTGCTTCACGCCAATTAAATAACCGTTATTTCTAGACATTATTCGGTATCAGAAATTCGGAAACGATGTCGCATGGCAACAGTAAAACGTAGTAGTAGCCTTAGTGTTGCGCCTCTGGGACTCTGGGAGCTTGCGCGTAAGATTTTGCTTCTCAATAACCGACGGCCATGTTTGCGTCAAATTGACCACTACTTCTAGATGTGAATTTGGTTGGGAAATTATTTTTTAAAGTCGCATGGCAACGGTAGAACCGAGTAGCGTTAGTTTTGTTCCCGCAATGTTAATCTGGAAGATGAGATTTTGCCCCTCGTTCGCTGACTATATAACGACGTCTCAGCTGATTAACGACTTCTCGTTCGATCCTCTCAGGTGCTGGCTGCCTGCTACAAGGCCCTCAGCGACCACAACGTGTACCTGGAGGGAACACTGCTGAAGCCGAACATGTGCACGCCCGGCATGGGATGCGCGATGAGGGCGACGCCCGTGGAGATCGGCATGGCAACCGTGACGGCTCTGTCTCGCACCGTGCCCCCGGCAGTTCCAGGTACTCGGCGCACGAGGGTTGGTGTTTTGGCGTACATAGCAGACTTGGATCGGCCAACTCTTCTTGATCCGATACTCAAACGAGCGTGATAATTCGGGGGGGGGGTAAAAGTAGCAACAAAGGTAGCAGAGGTATAAAGGTAACAAAACAGAGCAAAGGTAGCAGAGGTAGAAGTGTAACAAAAAGAAAGGTACAAATGTAGCAGAGCTGGAGTTTCGGAATCGCTGTGTGCGTCGCGAAACACTCGCGAGGTCGCTACAGAGCATTCATTGCGGTTTCTCACGCTAACCCGTCCTCGAAGCTTAACGAGCGTTTCTAACGAGCGTCTTCTCTCTCTCCTCCCCGCACGCAGGAATCACCTTCCTCTCCGGAGGACAGTCTGAGGAGGAAGCCACGGCCAACCTGAACGCCATCAACCAGGTGCCAATCAAGAGGCCGTGGACGTTGACCTTCAGCTTCGGCCGCGCCCTTCAGGCGTCCGTGCTTGCCGCGTGGGGCGGAAAGACGGAGAACATCAAGGCAGGACAGAATCAGCTGAGGACGCGCGCTAAGGTGACGGACGGCTCTCTCTCTTTTATTTATTTTTTCGTGTGTTTTGCGTGCTGAGTAAACGTGATAATTCTCATGCGTACTGCGCTCGATAGAGAGTTGAAGTTTAAATATATATATATATATATAGATAGATAGATAGATATAATATATGTATATATATGTTATAAAGTATAATAAGGTGGTGCTGAGTGGGTACATTACAGGATGAGTGTCCAGGCTTATACTATGTCGCTTTATATTATAATAATTATTAACGCTATGTCGCTTTTTGCAGGCCAACGGTGAGGCAGCCATGGGCAAGTTTGGTGGCGGAGCAGCCAGCGCCGCTGGCGGACAGTCTCTGTTCATCGCCAACCACCAGTACTAGAGGGCAGCACTTGTCTAACAGTGCTTCGCAGGCAGCGACGTGATTGGTTAGAATCATGTTAAACGTTTCGTGCATCTTTTCCGTCAAATGGCTGTTATAATTTCAAGAGTTTATCCAGCAGTTACAAACGATTGTCGGGGCATGCCGTATTGTTGCATACAACAGCACAAATGTGATCTGCAAAACAATCCGTAGACTCGGTAACATTGGCATGTTGCTAATTTCACTTACTATTCTGTATTGATGTGTTGTTGTTAGTTGGAAGGTTGCACATAGATAATAACATCAACGTATTTGGACAGCCATGTTTATATACATAAAGATCCAACACTCTGTTCTGGCCCTCACCACCTAGTAAGAACAACAATTTATTTTAAGGTGCAAGATATTCTATGCATGGGCCGATCTTACAGAAACAACACCTAAGTATGAGCCTCGTGTCAATTGTTATAATTCCATCGCGATGAGTTTAATATTGGAATGAATCTATGTTTGTGTTCTTGGCAATGATGTCAGTTGTTTGCTGGATGAATTAGGCACTTGGCTGTGTATAGTTGCATGGGATGTTACCAAAAATGTTACTGGAAATATTTACTTGAGCATTTCATGTAAATCGCTAGACTCTAGTCTATTCCTTCAGATAAAACGGTTAGTCAATAACGTTATTTCGTGAACAATGTGAAATCCTTGCTTTCAGCGGCTGGCTATATAGTGGCCTAATAATGTTGATAATATAGATCTCAAAATGTCATTTATGTGTCTATCCTAACAGGGCTGGCATGAAAAATAAACTTACAATTCTTAGCTCACACTGAAAATAGTCATTGTTATTGCTGTATCATTTATACATTACCATCGTACTGCACCATTCTCTAGCAATACATGAAATAGTCCTCAGTCACGTAGCTGTTCAAGTAAAGTGTACTGTAACAGTTCTTGTTAAGCAATAAATGTTGAGGTTTATGTGTACATCAAAAAAAGTATTGTGCATTGTTGTATTATAGTCCTGGGTTAATTTTGGCTATATAGCTTGCATTTTATTGGAACAAATACTTCAGAGATAGAAAAATTGGAAGGGGCAGTACACATCAAGTTGCATACTTATCACACATACAAAGTGTAATGTGATAGCTCTACAAGAAAAGGTCGGTTTTATTTCGACATTGCAAATGAATTGATTCCAACATTGCTGAAACGTATAATGTGTAATAACTGCATAAATGTTATAAAAGACCTATAGAAAAGTTATAGAGGACCTTCATCTTTAGTATCGACTAACAATATCATCTACAACAATTTATTCTGGTGCGTTTAAGCCTGGCGCACATTGCCGAACATTTTCCCGAACAAATGTTCGTCCGAACAAATGTTTTTGTCTGGCAATGTGCGGGTGGAAAATTGCTGAGCGCACATTGCCGAACATTTTGCAGCGAACAATCTCGTGGCACCGTCTAGTAGCTGTGTTGTAAAGAGTCACGTGATCGGCGCATACGTTCTATATAATATTATTATTTTTATTAATATCTTTTGGGAAATTTGCATAAAGTAGTGAATAGCGGGCGCAACTAAACCCGACGCCAGCTAGCGGCGCGGACGCGCGGTCGGTGCTGCCCTCTCGCGAGGCGTTGAACAGTGGCGCCCTCTTGCAGGCACGATGGGTAAGCGTCTTGCGAACATCGGAGCGGAGAACACGGAGGAGATGCGTCGTCAGTACCGGCAGCTGCTGTTCACGGGCGAGGACGTTGTCGCGGAGAACATCTCCGGAGTGATCCTGTTCCACGAGACGCTCTACCAGAAGGCTGACGACGGTGAGTGCTGACGATGATGGTGGTGACAGTGATGATGATGATGATGATGGTGCTGATGATGATGATGACGATCCTGTTCCACGAGACGCTCTACCAGAAGGCTGACGACGGTTAGTGCTGACGATGATGATGGTGGTGGTGCTGATGATGATAATGGTGGTGGTGGTGACGATGATGATGGTGGTGATGGTGACGATGATGATGGTGGTGGTGGTGGTGGTGGTGATGATGATGATGATGATGGTGAGTGCTGACGATGGTGAGGTGATGATGACGATGGTGAGGTGATGGTGATGATGACGATCCTGTTCCGCGAGACCTACCGGAAGGCTGACGACAGTGAGTGATGATGATGATGGTGATGATGACGATGATGTTGGTGATGATGACGATCCTGTTCCACGAGACCTACCAGAAGGCTGACGACAGTGAGTGATGATGATGATGGTGATGATGACGATGATGTTGGTGATGATGACGATCCTGTTCCACGAGACCCTCTACCAGAAGGCTGACGACAGTGAG